AAGCTTCATTTCAGCTTCCTCCATGTGTTCATGTAGATCCTTTAATTCAAACAGAACCACCTGAAATTTTCTGTGGCCTCCATGAAGTCTTCCCCACTGGGATAAAATGCAGAGCGCAGCTTGTCTAGGAAGACCTCATATGGCCCTTATTTTTGGCCAGTCATGTCTGAAACTCTGTGTCCTGGAGCTCCATTTTGTGGGTAGCTGGTCCAAGCTGAGCACTGCTCTCTGTGCCAGTAACCAGAACTGTATAACGCTGTGTGGGGTCAACTGTTGGGCAGCAGCTGCTGAGCCCACAGAAAAACATTTGTTTTGGACTCTCAGCTCAGACCTCATACTGGCACTTGGCCTCCTTAGACCCATTTCAGCCTCTGTGGTTGTCTAATTTCCAGGTCAAACAAGGACATTATGTCACCACTTCCCTACAGACTATGGTTATTAAAGGTGAGACATGAAACAGAAGAGCTTTTGCTGAGTGGTGTCCATGATGCTGGCACAGCAGCGTTGGGTAGTGTGGTGAGGGTGGCAGCGCTGATGCACAGACCCAACAGGACTGCAGGAGCTGAAAGAGCCAGCGGGTGCAGGCGCAGCACTGGCAGTGTCATAAGTACACAGCTTGTGGTGGTCCCTGAGGCCTGTGTAGAAGTGTTTGCAAGCATTACTGTTTCACAGTGTGCAGATATCACTGGGATTAAAGAGAAGGTGGAAGGGTAGAGCAAGTATAGTACTCAATCTTCAGTTTGATAAATAAATGAGAGATCTGTTCTTTTCCCCCTTGTGTTTAACTGAGCATTTCCAGTATCTCTCGTTTTGTGGTGTTCCTGGTGGTTATTAATACCTCTGGTGACAGCTTCCAATTTTCCTGCTTTGTTGGAAGAGTTCTGCTGGAAATCACAGGTGAATTGGCAGGTCAGAAGGGCTGACAGATTGTCAAAATATAGCTGCTACGTGCAGTCATCTAAGCTCTCATTCTTTCAGTACTAGTATAGAACATGGGATTGACAGCCCAGAGAATGAAACTGTTTCCTCACAGATGAGATAAAACCCACTGTGTCAGGTTCTGCCTCTGATGTGCAGAAGTGTCTGCTGTCAACTGTGGAGGGAGGTGTGTGGAGATTGGAGATTATAACAATCGCTTTTGAGTGAAAAAGTTTTGTGCTTGGGCATTGATGTGTTAAAATACCGACAACCACCCATCTTTCCCAACTGCAGGGAACTGAATAACCATTTCACTTTAGCTTGGGAACTGTAGCAGGTAGTTTTTGCTTTCTTCCTGCTCTAAAAGCTCTCACACAGGCTTCAAGTGTCCAGGTCCTCACCTTGTTCTTCCCCTTCAGAAAATCCTACTTACGTAGCTACCTGAGAGAGTGCTTCATCCTTTCCCTGAGTTACCAGGAAGGCAGCTGAGCTTCCCTCTCTGATGTTTGTCCTTCCCTGTGGAACTGAGTCAGTGCTAGTTGCAGAGGCAGTTTTGGAAACACAGGATCTACTCCCACTGGAGCTCAGGCTGATACTACTGTACTCCTCATGGGTGTCTCCTAATTCCTCTTTGCTGACATCAGACTGGACAGAAACTGAATTAAGAGTTTAAAAATTTCCATCTCCAGTCAGTCTTCCCTCCCAGACAAACCCATCTTTGTATACGACAAGAGGCTGATGGAAAGAAGCTCTGGTAGTTCTGGAAAACTTTCTTCTTTTCCCCAACGCTGGCTATTTTGCGGCAAAAGAACAAATGTTAGTTATTTCTAATAGGAACTTTAAAGTATATTGACACCAACTGCCTCCCGAGTGCCTTTTCTTTTAATACTGCTTCTGCACAGTTCACTTTAGAGTAAATAATGAAGGGCATTACTTCTCAATTTATTCCCTCCCTGTAATGCACAGTCTAAAACGGGGAGGCAGGATGTTCATACCGTTCTGTCATCAAGTGGAGTAGGTAAGGAAGCCTGGCCCTGAAAAAGGTGCAAAAATGAGTTACTGAGAAAGAAACAGGAGAGAAGTGTTTCTACAAGAAAGACTCAAATAATTTTAGTAAGCATGAGAGTGCTTTCCCTCTCAAATGTGAACACCTTTCCAAAATAATAGGAAGGAGAACATCAGAAATCAAACCAGGTGAAAAAGCAGTGCAGTTTAAAAGAAAAATAATGAGTTCAAAGTAAGTGCAACAGAGACAGCATTTCGAACTTAGTTTCTTGGGGAAACGGGCTGTGCAGAGCTCATAATGTGCAAGTGCACAGGCTGGAGCTTTTCCCGGGGGGATTAAAACCCAGATGACTTTTCTGCCTGTGCACAGTGGAGAAGATGGAGATGTAGGAACATCTGTAGGTGTGAGCAGCGCATGTGGCTGTGGAGGGTTTGCTGCTGATGCCTTTGGTGCTGCAGGGAGGGAAGGCCAGGCCTGGGGAGGGCCTTATCCCCCTTCTGCAGTGGTCACCACTACAAAACAGAAACTGAAAGAGATTGCTTTCTTCTGGCAGAAAAGCGATTACACGGAACTGCTGTTTTAACAGGGGTAAACAAATGCTTTCCGGGCTTTGAAACAGCCACTTTGTGTCTCTTATCTTCTCTAGCCCTCCTGCAAGGGATGTTCTTAGGGATCTTCTTATCTAACCACAAAGTTGTTTGAATCAAGAAGCGTAGTGGATTGTTTAGAGCCTAGTGGAAAGATTGTGATGCCAAGAAAGACTGCTCCTGCTTATAAATTTAGCAGCAGCAGCCATGGTGTTAGCACAGCTGGAATCAAAATTTCTGCAGCTGCTGATGGCTGAAGCTGGGACTCACCCCAGGTAACCTTTGCTTGCCTGGTCGCTCTTTGACTTCCACCCACCCCCAAATCTCTCTTATAAATGCTTCCAAAATAAAATGTTTTGAGAAAGCATACCTGGGTTGTTCAACATTTTAGCTGACTGTTTACAGACTTGTCTCAAGGGGTGTTCTGAAATACTACGCAGGATTAACTCCTGCTGTTACCAGTGATGACCAGAGCCAGGGAGATGATGGCTGTGGCTGTGTGTGTTTCTGCCCAGTCCCTTGGCATCATCCCATACATGCCAATTTTAGTATGTTTGGACATTTCACAGCTCTGTTTTTCACTAGATGGAAATAATGACTTTTGCTCAGTTAAGCAGTTTGAATACTAGCTAATGTGTCATTTTGTCCAGTTCCTTATTCTGCATCTTAAATTTATGTCGAAGCTTTATTTAATCCTTTGCCTGCTGCAGCCTATCAAGACTAGCCAGCGTAGCTTCAACTTGGCACAATTCTGCAGCTAATTTCCCATCCCCAACCCCTTCCCCCTTTTAACTCTGTGAACACCATGTATCCAGGAATGGGTTTGTATCTGCTCTTTCACTGGAGATGAAGTTCACCGTATGTTCAGGAACCCTTTAGCTTTCTTACAGTTTTCATAGGTGGCCACTAAGTGTCTGTATGTGGTTAACTAACAAGTATACAGTGAAGGTAGTTCCTTTAATTATTTTGGTTCTGTTTTCACTGTTTTGTTTTGTGACGCTATGTAGCTGGCCTCTGTCAGAGTTATTAAATTGACCTCCTATAAAAAGTTAATTTAATTGTGGCATAGTAGATGAAAAGACACCAAACTCAACAGGTTTTATAGAATGCTCCAACCCTGGAGGCATTTAAGGCCAGGCTGGACAGAGCCTTGAGCGACATAGTTTAGTGTGTGGTGTCCCTGCTTATGGCAGGGGGGTTGGAACTAGATGATCTAAAGGTCCTTTCCAACCCTAACTATTCTATGATTCTGTGTTGTTTGTGGACGTTGGTATTTACTGCCTGAGCCAAGTATCCACTGGCTGATTAAAGTATGTTGGTAAACTTTTGCTTTTCTGCAGTAATGTGATAAGAATTGGTTCAGTTACTGTATGTTTCACTGAAGGTATTGAAATATTATCCAAAAGTAGCCAAGTATTTTCAGCTGTGCTTTACAGGTGTAGAAAAATAGAGATATAACATGGTAATTTGAAAGTCATGGGCTAAAGGCAGTGGGACTCCCTGAGCTTAGACCTTGCTATAGTGTTCTGGTGTTGGCAGTAGTGATGTTCTAAAGATGCTTGGCATGAACTTGAAATGTATTTGTTTCCAGTAGCGGCTACTAGTTTGGGATATTTCATTTGAAACCTAAAGCAATCAGTCCTCATTGTGGAAGGCATATACTCAGTACTTCCTGAAAACTGTGTTGCTTTAGAATATGTGACACTGTGCTTAAAAAAACCCCAAAATTGTAAACAGAAATTGCTTTTAATATTCACTTCATGACAGTTAATAAAGATGTCACTAAAATTCTTAATCTTTTCATGCAGACTTGAACAGGTGGAATGTTCAGGATCATACGTTCGTCCTTCAGTATTATTTGTCATCTTTTAACTGAGACAAGCTTTTTGGCACGTTGTATAGATTTGGGCAAGACCATGTTGGAAGTGTTCTTGAAACAGACATCATGATACATAGTTGTTTGCAGCAGTAATTTGGTTTTGCTGTTAACAAGATGTTATGTCTTGCACATTAAAGTTGGTTGGGACGCGAGCGTTCCATCAACTTTTAGTTCTCATGCACTGAAGTGCAGGGAGAGACCCTTCTATATGATTTCATTTATCTGAGGGCTTCAGTGAGATTGTGTGGTCCTGGATCATTGATTCTGGGAAGTGAAGAGACACACAATTGAAAAAACGCTGCTTCCTATTCTGCAGAAAAAGCCTAAAGCACATGTGACAAAGAGGTGCATCTTAAAATGCACAGGGAATAGTGTGTGTGGTACAGTTCCATAGAAATAAGGAGGGTGTGAAAATAAAAAAATGGCCAGTTTTGACTATAAAGCCAGTTATGTTTTTCTCTTGTGCAGCTGTCCCTGTAAGAAAAAATGGAATACTAATTGTCAGTTGAGTTCAAAGTTAATGTTTATACAGCAAGTTGCTAGGATAACTATTCACATACTTAGCACTTGCTTGTTTTCATTACAGGAATTGCAAAGCTCAGGAAGAGGACGCTTTCTACTGGAACATGCTGCTCCCTTCTCTGCTTTTTTGACGGACAGCTTTGGGCGTCAGCACAACTACTTGCGAATTTCTTTGACCGAGAAATGCAACCTCAGGTGTAAGTGTCCACCTGCTTGCTTGTCCAGAGCTTACGCACAATGGTGTGCAAAGGCCAAGAACTGAGTTAGGGAACTTATTGCTGTGTTGGCCGTGTGCTGTTTCTTGTCTTCACAAAGTGGTGGTAAAGGATAGAGACTGGTTTGGGGCTGAGCTGCTGGTGAGATGGGGAAGCAAGAGCAAGCCTAGGGACTGGCCAGCGACAAGTGGGAGTGATAGGTCTTTCACAAGGATTGGTGTGGTTTGGATGATGGTGCTTGTGGATGTTTGTATGCTATACCCAAAGCGTGTGATAAGCATGAAAGCTTGTACCTAGGTATTCCCAAAATTATGTCTGCAGAGTCTGTGATGATGTCCCAGTGCTTGCCAGTTCAGTTTGGTGTTTCTGAATGCAGGTTAGATAGCAATAAGATTAGCTTTTCCTTCAAAGTGGATCTCTTGTAATTCTGAGACCCGTCAAATGGGGTTTCTTCTGAAGGAAAATAGGAAATTGTTAGGAGATTGCTTCTAAGATTTGGTGTATGATCTTACCTGTATTTAAGAAAAGCCAAGTCATAGAATCATAGAATAGTTAGGGTTGGAAAGGACCTTAAGATCATCTAGTTCCAACCCTCCTGCCATGAACAGGGACACCACACACTAAACTATGTCACCCAAAATATTTTGCCCATCAATATTAGATTAACTGCTGCTGGTTATTTTTTCCCCATGTATTTCTGTATTCTTTGTTTCAGGTCAGTATTGTATGCCAGAGGAAGGTGTTCAGCTGACCCCTAAATCAGACCTACTCACTACTCGGGAGATAATCGCTCTGGCCAAACTGTTTGTGAAAGAAGGTGTAGAGAAGATCCGACTGACAGGAGGAGAGCCGCTTATCCGTCCTGATGTGGTTGATATTGTGGGTAAGTTCTCAATAAATACAGTGTGCATCAAAATGACTTGCTGTATATTGATCCAAAACCTATGCTTATCTACTAATACAGTCCAGCAACCTGAAGAGAAATTATACATTAAATGATGGTGCTTTTTCCCAACATTGTTCCTGTTAGAAAACTTCTAGTTCTGCTCTCCTGCTTGGATGAAACTTGTATCTCTTCATATTATAACAGCTGAACTTATCATAGTTTCATATTCAGAATCTACTAGAATAATGCAGCCTTGGGGTTAAATCAAGAATTGATATGACCAGGTCCTCACTGGGGAGGAACAGTTGGTATGTGCTTACAAACAAAAGAGGTTTTCTTTTGTATTTTTTGGGGGGTTGCTTTTGTCTTTGTTTTGTTTCCTTGATAATAGATGTCACTTGCTTGTCTATGTTTGATAAGGAAAGAAGGAAATGTTTATGTTTTTACAGTTATTGATGAAGACTATTACTTCAATGGAAGATAAATTACTGGGTTATTTTTAGAAGTCTGTCTCTTTTGATTGGTATCGTGTTGACTGACTGTGCCTGTTGTGGGGAGTTTTTTGTTGTTTTTTCTGTTGGTGTGTTTTTTTTCTTGAGCCAGGTGCTTTTTTAATTCTGTTCAAAGTCTTGTATGGTATGGACATTATGACAGTTTTGTTTAGTGGCAACGTGTTAGATTAAGGCTATGTAGGTGGGGTACTTTGGTATATTGTAGACAACTGAACTCGTGTGTTTCTGCACATATACTCTTGTAAGTACTGAAGATTTGAAAGGATTAATATTGAAGTTGAAGGTCTTGACAGTAGAGTGGCTGCCTACTGATACACTGAGCTTTGGTGCAGAGAGAACAATTGGTCTCTGCTCGTGATTTGTTTTGTTCAGGATTTGGAAGACCTTTATGGTTTTTTCCAAAGGAAGCAGCAGAGCAGTGTAGTATGTAGAACTGACCTGCGTATAGCTGGGAAAGGTATGGCTAGAGTGAGCTGGCTTAGGTCTTTTTGAACCTTGTTTGTGAGGAGTCCTGAAACTGCACTAACTTCATCTTTTCGGAACTCTGGAATATCTTTTTCTAGGGCATTTTGCCCATGCATGGTAGCTTATTTTTTATTTAGGATTGAGTGCACTATGTACCTTTCAAGAGACCTTTTCTTTGAAGAAGGCATTCCTCATTTCTAGTAATAATAGGTATAATTCTTTTTAGCTAGCCAGCCAAAAATGGAGCAGATTTATGAAGTAGGTTGTAATTTAAAATACAATAAACCTTTACAATTCAACATATAGTATTGGCATGAAAATGAGTTAAAATCAATTACATCAGTTCAGTGCAGAACTTTCTTTCCTACTGTATTCAGCTTTTTGATTCACCAGCAGTAGCTAATGGCTTTTTATACTTAGCACAGCTACTCTGATATTGAGGGTGTAAGTTGAGTAGCCAGGTCACTGCAACATAATTATCACCTTGCTGCAATCAGAAAGTATTGATCCTGGAAGGATAGAAAGCTTTTTTGTTTGTTTTACAGCAGTGATGGAATTCTCAGGGGTTTATTTCTGTGGCTGAAAGAAGGAGATAGATCTTTTTGAACCAGTGGGCTTTTGGTACTTTGGCTGTGTTCTTGTTCACAGTTGAACTTTGTAAGATTCATAGTGATAATTTTAACAGATGACAGGAGAGTACTGATCTTAGGGTAAAGATAATGGATGTTAAGATGATTGTCCTGTTGCATTAGTTCATTCTGTCATGAATTTGTATTAGCCTTTGTTTTTTTCAAAGGCATATTGAAAACTGCCAGATTAAGTCTATAAACACTTTCTATCTTCTCAGACTTTGGTGTTACACTATGATGCACAAGCTTGGAACCAAGACAAAAGTCTCAAAACTAAATAGATCACATGTAACAACTATGGGAAAACTCATTGAAGGAAAACAAGCCCAAAATTGTCTTCTGCAGAATTTGAGTTAGGCATCTATATTGAAACCATCTTTAGCATAATGTACTGATTTGGGCTGGCATAGAGTTAATCTGGATTTCTAGATGATTTATAGAAGCTGGCTACAGTATTTCAGGTGCTGAATAGGGGTGACATTTAATTTAGGTTTGTTTTCAGCAAACCTTTCTCTTTACCAGAAATGGTCTATGAAATACCAAAAAAGCTCAAAAATATTAATGCTGGATTACTGTTACTGTATTTTTCTAATACTCAAAAGAAAACCTTTTTGTTGTTTCAATGAACAAAGGTGGTTTGAAGCTACTGTAGGAGACCATGTTATTCAGAGAGCTGCTACAGTTCTTTAGATTATTTCAAATCTTTATTTCAAATCTTTAATACATGCACATACATAAACTATGACTCAGCAACTAACACTCACTGAAAGCTAGATCATGCCCTGGTGACTTATGAGAACGTGTTTGAGACTTTTCTGAAGCAGCTGATAGTGGAATATAGAATCCATCTCCTTTGGACACTCAAAGTTTAAATTAGCACTGGATATAAACTGTCTGATAGCTGTTTATTATTAATAGTCTGAGAAGTACACTTTTCCACTGAGAAAATAATTTTCAGGGGGATGGAGGATGGATGGTTATATGACTGCTTATAGCAATGTACACATTTCAAGAGTGAAATAATTTAGGGTAGACTTGTTAATGTTTTAGGAAATACACATACTTTATCTGTATTCAATCAGGAGAAATGCAATTGAGAAAATGATTGGAGTGGAACATGTAAGAAGCTTGTCTATGTAAGAAGGTGCTCCTGATCCTAAAGGAAAAAGTAAATGTAAAAGGGTTTACTTGATTGCTTAAGCCTGACATAGAAGCTTTTAGCTTCAGGCTGTTGAATTACAGCATCTGTTCTGTTTCCTTTTCTACTTGATGGTTTTATCGGTTGTCTTTGCTTGTGCTGATTGTTGCTAAAGCTGTAACCACAGGTTAGCAAAGAGGCTTAATCCAGGTACAAGGTGAGTTACAAAGTTATGAAACCTCTTTAATCTCTTTTGAACTTGGAGGTCAACAAGCCAAGGAACCAAGCAACTGCAAATGTTCCACTTTTTAGCTTGCACAAATAAGGCAGAATGTACTAACTGGCCCTTTTTACTTGGTGTTAAGTCTTCATCTCAAATTTCTCACAGTAAGCTTCTATCCAATTTGTGATTACAGGTGTTTCCACATATTAATGTATTTCCAGTGCCTCATCCTGTATCTCATTCTGTCTGATGAGGAATAAGGCGTATTGATAACAGCTGCTGCCTGCACTATCTGACATGATCAATTACTTTTTTAATTTTTCCCATTTTAGTGCTACTTTTTTTTTTTTTTTTTTTTTTTTTTTTTCTCATTTTAGGCTGCAGCAAGGGTTTGGTTTTACTCAATGCCTTTATGCATTTTATATTTCTAGCAATGAAGCCTGTATGACAGCTAGATTTTTTTCCCGCTCTGTTGTTAGGAGGCTGAGCATTTTGTGCGTTCTGAGACTGTAAATAAAAGTAGTGGTGTTCCTGTGCTACCCTCTGGCTGCAGTGTGTATCCTACGCTCTCAAAAGAGTAGGTTGTTAGTGGTAGCTAATCTTAAATAATCTCTGGCAAACTTGGGCCAGTAGCACTCGTTCTCTGAGAAGAAGTTATTCCTGACTATAGTGGGTAGGCTTTTGAGAGGTGGATGCCAGAAAAATCTAGCTGATTGATAGTAAAGATTGCTTTTCCATTACAACTTCAGGTTCCAAATGTCCTCACAGGGCTCTTAATCATATTGCAAAATGATGCTGCTGTAAATTTCAGCATCTTTGGTGTGACCTGGCTTGTCCTATTCTAGAGAGTTTTGCCCACCTTAGGGTGAATATTTTGAGAATAGCTGGGAAACAAGACAAGTAGTAAAGCCTTTATCAACATGAACAAATAGAGGTAGAATAAGGAGGAAGGAAGGGACTAGGAAATATTTGTGCTGTAATTAAAGCTGTCTCAAGAGTAAGGGTTCTCAAATGTTTCTCAACTAATTAGGGTGGAGGCTATGAGAGAAGGGAGGAAGGGATAATAAGCAAATTACTTTGCCACAGCTCTGTCTCTGAAAGTGGTTTGTGAGGGTTTTTTCCTATTTGTTATTGTACTGATAACTGGAGGTTTGAAAGCCTGCCCTCTGGAGATGTGGTATGCTGAGGATTTCTGCATTTGGGTTATGAGAAGGCAGCTATTTTCTAAATGTTAATCTTATGATAATAACTGTTTCTTATGTGGTTTTCTTTCATTAGCCATTTTTTAGTGTCTTGCGTAAGCATACTTCAATTGGCTGGGCTACTACTGTGGGTAATGGAAATATTTCAGTTGTCAAGTGCAAGTGTTTTGTCACTTGGAAGCTGTTTCCTTGGATTCTCTGTAATGGTCCAATATGTTGACCTTTTTCTGTTTAGTTAGGAGTATATGTGGTATTTCTTTCAGCAGTTTAAAGTCACAACTGCTGCTACCTCTGGGTTAGAACTGGTTATTGGTAAAGTTTAGAAGCATAAAAGTTCAGGTGTAAAAGGGATGGCTTGCTGCTAATTATTATTGCAAACCACAGAATTCAGTTTGCAAAGCTAGTTTTGAGTAGAAGGCAAACAAAATCAGAGGCCTTCTTCCAGCAATAAAGCAGTTATTTACTCTAAGAAATGGCAAACAAAATTCGTATGCATTTTCAGTGTTATTTATAACCAATTTTGCTTGCAAAAACCTACTGCCTTTCATACCTTCTGAAATGGATTTGTTCTAAAATGGGTCTCTTAAACCAATACAGCTGGAAGGAGGCTGAAGCACCAAAGTGTCCATGTTTTCCTCACACCCTCAATGATATTTTTTTGTTTGTTTCACAAATCTCCTTTTGGGTTTTCTGTGTAACTTATACTTGAATTACTTCTTTTAAAGTGTTCTATTGACTTTCTATTTTCCTAGGTCAACTGCACAAGCTAGAAGGTCTGAAAACCATTGCTGTCACAACCAACGGGATCAACTTAACCAGATTGCTGCCCCGACTGAAGGAGGCAGGACTGAATGCCATTAACATTAGCTTGGATACTTTGGTCCCAGCTAAATTTGAGTTCATTGTCCGGAGGAAAGGTACAGTCTTCTAAGGCAACTGTGTTCATGCTTCCAGTAATGTCGAAAGTTGTTTGCATGTTGTTGACTTAGTTACTTTGGGAGGGGAGTGGATTGCTATCCTTCTGAGGCTAGGAAAAGTAGTCTATACTAGCTTAATTGATAGCGACTCTTCTTCCTTCTTCTACAACCCTTAGGCAGGTAGAGACCCTTTAGTTGGAGCTGGTGGAGTAGAAGATGCTCAACTTGGCACAGTCAGTGGGACTGTGACTACAGTTGCCAGTACATGACTGATTACCAGTTAGTAAGGACATCAAGAGGACTCGCCAAATCCTGTGCTGGTCTCGTGTGCTGCTGCTCTTTAATACTGTTCAAAAAGCAGTTGTTCCTGCGGTAGCAGCCAGGAACTAAGATGCCATAAGAACAGAACTTGTCACAAATACTGGCAGTTTCTGGAAGTTGTATCTGGGGCATGCTAGCAGTGGTCTCCTTTTTGATTCGTGATTTTTCCCTACCTCCATAACTTTTAATAGGAATAAACATAAACTGTGCCTGAGGTTATTTGAGGAGGGCTGTTAGCTTTGTAACTTCTGTCTGATTGAGCTAGTAATTCCAAACAAAGTTTCAAAAATGCTTGGATATGCCCAGATCTACAGATTCTTGTTTAGATGAATCCTAAAGCTCATTGTAAAGTTCAACTTCGTGGTTGGGCTTTCTTCCAACCTAAAGCTGATTTGCTCTTGTATCATTCTATTTCTGTAGAGTAATGTAACTTTGGAGGTCCATAAACTTCTGGTTCAGACAAAACCTCTAAGTAGCCACTAGGTGGTGCAACAGTGTAAGATAGATTTAGAGGAAGGGATGTAGAAATCTGGGGTGCTGTGGAAAGTAATTTCGATGTTTGAATCACTCCGCTATCAAGTTCTTCTGGCAGGTGCAGAAAGGTGTCCTTGTCTACAGTCTCACTAGGAGCACTTCTTCAGGTTTCTAAGTCATGGTGCCGAAATCTGTTCCTTTCATAAATCTGATTGGAGCGTTATCATTCCAGTGAAGGCTATTGCATTAATCTGGTTGTGTCATGGCACAGTTGGCTTTCAGAGAAGTATCTGGGAGTATGTAATCACAAACAGGTGTGGACTGTGCTCTTTATTACTGTTCTCTTCATTTGAATATTGCCTGGTTTGTGACATTCACTGGAAACAAACCCTTCTTTTGCTACTGAAGGGACAAACCTGATCCTTCAGCTTCCTGAATTATATGGCCACAGCTCTTCATATCTGATTGGAAGCTGTTAGGAATGTGCTGCTTAGAAAGTAAGCTAAAAGTTACTGGAGGATGAGGGTAATTTTTATTTATGTAAATGTTCTCTTCCCTTCTTCCCTTTTTGAAGAAAATAAAAAGGTCTTTAACGACAAAGAGAAGTTGCTCAGCTGAATAGCATACAGAATGAACAGAGAAGTTTCTATGACTCAGTATTTTTGGGAGAATAAAGTCTCCAAATCATAGATTATTTTTTGTTATTATTTTTTTTCCCCGCAAGTTAAAAAACGCTGAGTTGGATTTTTTTCTTAAGAGCTGAAATTATGTAAACGTATTTTTTTATTGTGTTTGAGGGTTTTTTATTTAATAGATTTCCAAGAGCGGAGAGAGCAGAGAATAAGGTGCCTGTCCTACTATGCTATCCTGTCTACTGTGGCAGTTTCAGAGGTGACAAGATATAGTTCTGTTAAGGTGAGAGGGATTCCTGGTCTTAGACTTCCACAGACTGGTAACTTCTATGGAAAGCGAAGGTGGCATCTGATTAAGGAGCTAGCCAGGAGCTCAAGAAACTTGGAATGAATTTTTCTGCTCCTCTGGAAACTCATTCTAGGGTTTTAAGAGAAGTTCGGACTTTTGTGTCTTTGTTGCTGGTGACCTGTATTATATCTGCTTTTATTCCCAAATGGTTGGGATAGAGGGACTGACTGTGAGATGATCAGAGATTTCACTGGTGTATGAAAGCAATTACAGGACCGTAGTATTTCTACTTCTCCCCATCTACCACATTCTAAGGGATGAACAAATTAAAAGTACTTTCATGCAGGCATCCAGTCTAACCTGTTTTGTTTTCACAGCCTGTGCCGCCTTTTTTTTTTTTTCTCAGTAGAAGGAATATCACATACTACTGTACTGTAATTAAATCATTAAACATTCTCTTTCTTCTTGTAAGGATTGAGTGCTGGGTGGTGCCCCACATAGGACTGGTCTGGATATGTCTAAGGTTATCTGTGCTTTAAAGTTGGCTAAAGTTACGATTTCAGAAGAAATCTAAAATGATGAAAATTTTGAAATAGTTCGTTGGGTGGAAAAGAAGTCACTTTGAAATATCAAACAAAAACTTAAAGAAGTTCTGACCCCTGACCATATTTGCTGTCACAATGACATCTAGTATTCATTTCTGCTGTAATATTTTGAAACATTTTGTGTTTATTCTTTTTGTTGTTCCATTACCACACAAGGACTTTGATCTAGAAGGGGTGTTTCAATAAGTATGGCAATACAAATAAACTCCTAACAGTTTCCCATGATAAAAGAACAGAAAACAGTTAACATCAAAATATGAAGTGCAGCTACAGATTTGTTTTTTGGGTTTTGATTTTTTTGGTTTTTTTTTTTACTGTAACAAATTTTTATTTTAAATAATCCTCCTGCACCAAAATTCCTTTAGGGGAAATAAGCTCATAGTTGTTAATCAGAACAGCCTACTTTGTAGAGATTTTTGATAGCTGTTCTAAACCATGCTGTTGTGCTAGCATGGCAGGAGGTAAGAAGCAGGACTGGGAAGGACACAGAGTCTAATGCATTGCAAGCTGTAATCCTGTTCCATGCCTCCATAGCAAGTTGAGCCCAAGCATGTGAGTGCCTTGGGTTAACAGTTGGACTTGATGATTTTAACTGTCTTTTCCAACCTAAATGACTCTATCAAAACTGAGGAGGTATTGATCTGCTGTTTGCTAGTGATTGCTTCCTGGCCTTTTTAGTTAAGTTCAGTTCCACCTTCCTGCAATCCTGAAGTCACATATAAGGTTTTCTGAGCTGTTGCAGAGCTTTTCGATCCCATTTGTGGCTCTAGGATGTGCTTACAGCAGTGTATCGTTATCTCTGTCACAACGTTCAGCCTGTGAACTTGCTGAATTGGAATGAAATCTACCACTGATACTGCAGACTTCCTGGGAGCATGCAAAACAAGTAGGTGATGAAGGAGAAGAGTGACAAATCATGACTTCAAATAGTTGCTTGAAAGAGTTATTTCACTGTCTTTTCCTTGTTTTTCACCTCTCCTTTCACAGCTAGCAGTACCACTAGGACTGGCTTATAAAAGTTACCATCTTCTGCTTTCTACTGTCCAAGCTTTATAGTGCCTTTATTAGCCAGAAAACAGTTAACTCAAAGCTTTTTGTCTTTCCTTTTTTATCTGATCTTGAATACATCCAATACTAAGTATGCACAGAATATTACTGAATTATTGCTTATTCCTGATAAAGCATCTACTGACTCTTGGAAAATACTGCCCTTCTGTGAGCATGTGTAAAGTATTGGCTTTTGTGGACTACAGCTTTGGAAGAAGGAGCTCAGTCTCACACAGCATTTGGTCTCTCATACCTGAGTTTAGTGTGCGGAACAGGAAGGCAACTTACGTCTAGCACCTGGCAGGGTAGGAGACTCATTCACAAACATGGTGCTAGTAGTTGAGCACACCCACTCACCAGAAATATATACCCAGGGCTTGGTAGTGTGCTGTCTTATTCTTGTTGCTATCACATTGTTTCTCTGCCAGCTGGTGAGTGTGGCAGAGAAGGAATAATATGTCAAATCTAAAATTGATATCTTGATGAAAGGTCTTAACTTTGTTTAAAGTTGACAGAAGATGTGGTTTGAAGGTGATGATTAAGAGGCTTTCCTAAAGGCCTTTGGAATTCCAGAATTGCATTGTTACTTTCTTTTTCTTCCAAATTTGAGAGGAGCATGTACGGATGAAGATTTGCCCTAAATTAGCTATCTCTGTGTTTGGGAGGAGCTGACAAGTATAGGCCACACTAAATGGTAGGGTGAGGCTGGACATTCTGAGGTGTGGTGTTGGTGCAGAGTTTAAGCCTCTTGCAGCTTTTCTTACTTGCAGCCCTGTTTGCTGAATCAGATTGGGTTTTATTTGTCATCCTTTCTTCTTGTACTCAATAACCTCCTTTTGCATTCTGTGTTTAAACACGAGAAATACATTTTTATTCTTTTTATATCTTAGGCTTTCACAAGGTAATGGAAGGAATCCACAAAGCCACTGAACTTGGCTACCGTCCTGTTAAGGTAAGCCAGTGTTCATTTACTCTGAACCTGTTGTGTTTTACCGTAATTGTGATTGAAAGACACAGGTCACCTGATGATTAATTTATTATCTCCCCTCCCCCCCCCCAAATAATTTTTAATAAAACTGAAGAAAAATTTTAGTAGATTGAAGATCGTTTTGAGAGGCAATGGGAGAAATCCATATAAACTCCTTGCACCACCGAGTGTACAATTTTATACTGCCACATAGCCTATTGGTTGCCTAGCTGCTGCCTACGGGGTGGTTCTGCTCTGTACTTCCGTCTTCCTTAACTGCTCTCTTGATTTGGCACTTGTCTGACTCAGCTGTGAGCTTGGCCAAGGGAGTTAACAGGTAGAAAACTACCCTGCAGAAAGCCACTAGTTTTCTCTTGGCTTATCTCTGTAGCTGCTTATAGCAGACTCTGATGAGTGCCAGTGTAAGGGAGAGGGAAAAGGGAGTCCTTCTTTGGGGTGCAGGTAGGCCAATAACATGAAACTTCACTGTGACTCAGCTGTTTGAGGTTCTGCAGCTGTGGTTCCCTTCAGTTTTGCCAATGTTTTGGAAGATCTATAGAGCTGTGAAAAACACTTGAAATTAAACTAGGCTTTAGGCTTTCCAGAAAGATCTTAAGAATTGTGATGCACGATGCTCGGACATACAAATCTGCCTTACCACCAGGGAGTGTTTTATCAACTGCACAGCTATCTATCTTGTTCTACAGATAAAGCACAGAAGACCTGAGGCTCCAGTGTAAATATTGTTTATGAGGAACATGCAGAAAACTCAGTTTCAGCATATTTTGGAGGAAGGCAGCACTAGTCTTCCTGGAGCCTATGGTTGTGGAGTGCACTGTGAACACTTCTGGGTCTGGGGAATTTGCCTGTGCCATAAATTGTGTTATAGAAGGTTCCCTGCCAATGCTTTTACAGAAGGTGTACAACATAAGAACGGGGAGTGAAGTTGTCATTTTAGACAGTAAAAACTGCCGTACACTAGATGAGTAAGATGATGCCTTTGTTGCCTAGCTTTTTTAGTTCTCCGTTTAGCAAGGTGACTGTAGCAACTTTAATGTTGTTGGATGCAAAAACTTAAAGGCAAGTTTGGCAGAAATGATCATCCATATCGTTGCAGTCCTGCCAAATTCTGTCATCATCTTTGCTTGCAAAAAAACCCCCCAAAAGTTCTTTCTATCTACGTTGCCTTCTACAAGGGCTGTGAAACCTTGTCTTAAGAGGGAATAAAGTCATACTCTGCTCACTAATTTCAGATGTCTGCTTTTCATGCAGGTAAACTGTGTGGTGATGCGAGGCTTCAATGAAGATGAACTGCTGGACTTTGTAGATTTCACAAAGGATCTGCCCCTTGATGTGCGGTTCATAGAATACATGCCCTTTGATGGTAAGAAGTCCTGCTTTGAGATTCTTTATGGCATGCAGTGTGTCTTGGACACAGGTGAATCTAGTTGGTGATTGTTCACCTTGTGGCTTGTCTGTTGAAGTTTTGCTGAGCTCTTTTGGGGAATTAGGAATCACGTTAAGTTTCATGTTGGATCTTTTGCCGCTTACCTATCTTCCTGGGATAAGCTGGAGAATGATTAGTAGCAAGATTAGTTGGGACACCTACAGGGATAAAACTGAGATTTGTGGAGAATGTAAAGGTGGTTCTCTGCTAAATGTTATAGTCTAAAGTTATGCTGGTTTTGTTAATTCTAGGCAATAAATGGAACTTCAAGAAGATGGTGAGCTACAAAGAAATGCTTGATACAATTAAACAGCGATGGCCTGAATTGGAGAAACTGCCCTGTGAAACTTCCAGCACAGCCAAGGTGGGGTTAGACAAAGATCATGTGAAATGTGCCCCCATTTTTTCCCTGCCCTTAATCCCCAAATTCAGATAACATTTATATTTGACAAGCAAAGTGAAAAATACTTAGTGTGGTAACTCTAGGATTTTGGTCAAGCTGTCTGCATGTGGTTTGATGCTTACTAAACACTTGTTGTAGTCTTTACCTTTAGAAATACAATGTTTACTACATGCCTCAGTCAGAGATAAAGACTGTGAGGCCTGTATCCTGTATTTATAGCTTTTGAAGCTGTGTCTGTCTGCACATTAACAAGCCTGATGAAATAGTTGTTCAGTGAAATAACAAACACTATTGCTTTAGAGTGTGTAGTGTCATATGGTGAGTTTCTAGCCTACAGGAGTCTATAGCTCATGGTTACCTGAGTATTGGCATCACCAGTCATTTAATAACTACAAAAGCAAACATTTAACAAGTTTGTGAATTTCCAGAAAAAGGCAGAATAGACAGGAACCCCTGACAAAGCTGACTGCATTTTTGTCTTGTTCTGCTGTAACCTTAGAATTGAAGAAAATCTGTGTTAAACATCTTCTGGTCTTTGGACAAGTAGAGCATTAAAAATGAGGAGTATATGTTTGACTCTCTGTTTTTTCTCCTCTGTATTTCTGTAGAGTTATAAAGTGCCACAGTTCCAGGGCCAAATCAGCTTTATCACCTCCATGTCAGAGCACTTCTGCGGATCCTGCAATCGGCTGAGGATAACAGCAGATGGGAACCTAAAGGTTGGTAGTGAAACAGGATTCTCTTTGCTTTCATGCAGCGAAAGTAATGTTGAAATTCTTCCCTCCATAGTAGCTGGGATGTAAATTAGGATGTAAAGATACGTAATTATTACCAGCTAACTCCTGTTTATCCTGTATGTATTCTTGTTCAAGCTTTTTGGGCTGTTAGGGAGATGTTACATCACCTCTTTTTGGTTTCTCTGTTTTACTAGCATAGTTAACTTCACTTGTAAAACATAGTTGCAAGGCCAGTAAACATAAACATTTATTTTAATCTTTGATTCAAAATCATCTTAAACATGTGATAAGCAGATGATTTCCCACTAAAAAAGGATCCAAGCAGCTGTGAGGACTGGCTTTTATGTTCCACAAGGATCCTGTCTTGTTTCACCAAACATCTTTTTGCAACTCTTCTCCTTCAAAAGCAGCCTGTACATTTGCTGAGCGGCTGTAGGAAAGGGAGGGGGAATAACCATTTCCTGCCACGTTGAAGCTGGCAGTTTCTGGGGGAAAATTAAAGTTTTCAATTAAAAACTGGCACTTGCACATTGTCACCTGATATTGACAACAGCTGTGCTGCTGTCTAATGTCAGATGACTGAGGCAGCCTGAAGGCCCAGTGAGCTTACACTACGTAAACATCCCAGGCTGTCTGTGTATGTACATGAAGAGAGATAAAGAAAAAAATCTCCATAAGCGTTCTCTTTCTTCAGTAGGATGGGCCTGTTCAAACCTCTTTACTGAGGTTAGCATGAAATACTTGTAAAAGCCATTTATTTTATTCTTTCTCATTTCTCCTCTTTGTGTCCTCGGGTTGGCTGTAGGTATGCCTTTTTGGGAATTCGGAAGTGTCCTTGAGAGATCACCTACGGTCGGGTGCCTCAGAGGAAGAGTTGGTTCAAGTCATTGGAGCAGCAGTGGGAAGAAAAAAGAAACAGCATGCTGGTATGTTGTACCTGAGAAATAGCAGCAGTGACTAGAGAAAGCAATGTCCTGGTACTGCTGTGGAATGCATTGACTTGCTGGGAGAAAGAAAGGAAAGAAAGCTTCTTGAAGGAAGCTGCATTACCTACAGAAAGAATTTTCCCATCTGATAAAGAGTATTGTCTGGTAGAAAGCTGGTAACTTTACCAGTCCTGCAGGTACTGGTAAACAGTTGGTTTTGCCCTTTTTGCATTATGCGTAAAACAAACGTAAAGGGAGCTTTTAAATCTGGGCATAGACTCACTTCAATGTTCATTGATCTGCCCCAGATATAATAGTGCCTTATAAATATAAGGGAAGGGGTAGAAGGGTTGGTTCCTTTCCTTTTAGACCATTCATTTCTGACTCTCTGATTAGAGTGTTTTTCCCCTCTAGTAAAGGCATTTTGCCATCAGCAGCATTTACCTGGCATTGCCTGTCTTCTTCCAATTTGTGTTAATCCCAGCCTTGTCTCTGAGGCCTTCTGTGATTGGACTACTTTAAACGGGAGCACTGGTAACAGCTTATCCATAGAAGTAGTACAGTTAAAGGCTATTGTTAAGAAACAAGATAGTCCCAAATTGTTTGAATTCTGTAGTAGGGAGACTGTAATTCAGATTATGGAAAGCTTTCTGGGAAAGGGTTCTACAGTGTGATAGAGCCATAGCAGCTGGATACTTGGAGACTGTGGCAGCTATGGTTTTAAATAATACCATGTTGGTTTTCCCTTCCTCCAGCTCCTTCAGTCTTTACTGAGCTTTGATTTCCCTAGCATGCAGGTTGCACTGTGAAGAGCAGAAAACAAAATACATAAACCAGATGCATGACTTCAATCCTAAAAAGCTAGGATTTTTATGTGTTCCTTATTTTATTTCTAGGCATGTTTAACATTTCCCAGATGAAAAACCGGCCAATGATCCTGATTGGTGGGTGACAAATCAGTACGTAATAAACATACAATGATTTTGTTTGCTTTTTGTCCTTGGGGGAGTGGATTGGGCTTTTAACTTGTGTTTGGTTCTGGCTTAGGTTTAGACAAAGAAATGGGTTTCTATAAAAGGCAGTTGTGGTTAACAAGCTGAAGTAGAAGAGGAGAAAGGTTTAATGTCCCTACCAAGTCTTACCCAAGACCCTAGTGCTTGTACTTCTGTTGGCTTTATTAGGAAATAGGATCTACAGTGGTCTTTTACCATAGGTTTTCACAGGGACTGTTTTCCCCTTGATGCCCCACTTTAAAGGGCTATCACTTTCCATGTTGAGTGGTTCTGGATTGTGTCTCTCTGTTTGCTTTTGCTCTTTTGTATTTGGCCACAGCTGCATTGTGTTCCAGGAAGAGGGGAAAGAGGACCCTTTGTATAAAGTGTGTATTGACTTGCTGCATGAGGAAAAATGTTCTGGATTTTGTTTTTTTTGGGGGGGGTTGCTTTGGTTGTGTTTTTTGTTTTTCCTCTAATAGGAAATACATTTTTTGTTAAGATGAAATACTACATTAAACTCTTTGACAGCTCACTGGGACCTACATAATTTTTCAAGATGCATTTGAAAGAATCCCCACACGCCAAAGTTAGCATTCATAGCAATGTTTGGATGTCTACAGCTCAGATCCATCCAATTTCCTTTTGAAAAGTGCTTTAACATTGTCTGACATACTGTAGAAGAGGCAGCCTGTCCAGGTCCTAGCCCAGCTGTTCCATGTCCCTTTGAGACTAACTGCTGGCAGTCACTGCAGAGGCTGGAGATGAGTGGAGAGTATCCCACTGTGACACATGGGGACTCATTAGGAGATTTCCCAATTGTGTTTTGAATTACTTACAAACTTCAAATAATACTGGCGTGCAAGCAGTCAGTGGGGGGGTGTGTATGGAATTAATTTAATGAAACTTAATGAATGCTGTGGAAATCACTAATTGGTTTTGCTAGTCCCAGTGAGCCAAACCTGGCTTCTTCCCTGCACTGTTGTTGTCTGATCCTTTGCTGTATGGTTTGTATCCTATTTCGCTTAATCAAAATATTCCTTTTGGCAGGTTGTTCTCCTTATGGGTTTCACTTCAGTTGTGGGAATTTCCTCCGTAATTTAAGTATCTCCTGCCCTCCTCCTCCCCCCAAGATTGTGCTAGTTGGAAGCTTACACTATTAAACTTCAGGTGCAGTAACAGAATATAAGGAGATACGGTTTATAGGACGGTTTTGGTTGTGTTATATATAGTGCTATAGGAAACAATTATATCTTTTTTTTTTTAGGTATATGAGAAGTTAGGGTGAAAATAGAGATGAGTAGGTACAACTTGAAGAAAATGTAGGTTGGTTGTTAGAAAAAGCAAAGATGCTTTGCATGCATTACTGTCGCTGTCTTTTTACTTACCACTTATTTGAGCAAACAGCACTTCTCTTCCCTGCTCCCACCCATGTGTGTTTATGCTGTGGAAGTAAGTGCTTGTCTACCTTTGCAGTCCAGCTTCTAAAGACAAAACACATTGCCAGGGTTAAGCTTCAGCTTTAAAGCTAATCAAGAAATCCAGAAAACAGAACTTTGAGTTCCTGGATTTCAAAATGAGTATTCAGGTTAGGCCCCACTGTATAAAGAGAGAGGGAAAGAAAGAGTAAGAATAATTGTCTGTGTTCTTCTAAAGCAGAGCAATGTTGCACTCAAAACATTTATGTCCATTTAATTCCATGCCCGTGAGGGTAAACACATTAACACTAAACTTGCAGAAGTCTTAGTTTTAGTGGGTAGGCCATCACTTGCAGATCAAAAAGGGACTTTGCCTGAATTTATATTATTGCAGTGATTTTTTTTAAAATACCGTGAAATCTGTGGTTGATTTAAGCTTTCAGATCAATGTTTGCAAGGTATTCTAGGCAAAAAAGCTGCTAAGTGCATCAGAGGCTGGGACTAACAAGGAGAAGAGATTGCTCAGTTTGTTTATAAAGAAAGAGGGCAGAGGGACACAACCAATGCCATGTCCATGCTGTTCCTGTTACTGTCATGGGGTCAGTCCAAGGGGATACATGCAGGTGTGGTCTAATTCCAAGTTTCTCAGGGCAAAGAGAGCAGGAGCTCCAGAAAAAGAGAAACGTGCTTATCAATGAGGCTATTAAACTAGGGCTTAGCCACTTACCTCTATACTGCTTTCTCTTTACTTACAAAACAAATCACTACTTTTATGTGAAAAAGACTCCTTGTCTTGACACTTGGCATTTAGCCCTCTGCAAATGCCAAAACCACAGGATTAAATGGTGAAAAGGGGCAGGAGGGCTTACAACCTCTCTGCCAGCTGGGAGCTCTGCCAGCTCAGCTTGGAACACACTTCTGAGTAGGTTTAAAATCTATCTGTCAATGAGAGGAGCGTGGTTTTTCCAGTCCTTAAACTTTAGCTGTCATTAACATGGTAAGAGCTGGTAGTAATAACAGAGGTTCCCATCACAGAGGCACCCTCCGAACTCATAGTGCAGTTGCAGTACTCCTGGTCCCTGCTGTCCTCAGGAGCTGGCATGACCCCTTCCCTGCCGAAGGGGATGAAAGCAGGAAGTATAGCTGCCTGGCTGGGAGGAAGGTCTTTGGAAAGGCAAAGTTGAGAATCCGGGTGCAAGTATTTCCTATTAACCGTGTCAGGCTTTTGAAAGAAGACTGCTGCTGGGACAATCTCAAATGAATGCTGAGATACTGTGACTTCCTTTTCTTCAGAACGGGTGTTCCTATAAGCTTTCTTGGCTGCTGTTTCTCAGTGTTGATACTTTTGAAAGCAAGTTGTTTCTTCTTGTCAGAGACCTTGAAATAAGTGGTTTGAGTCTTCGGGTTTGTAATAACAAACCAGCAAATGCAGGGAACTGATGAGAGAGAAAAGCCTGAGGAGAGAAGTGGATGTTTGGAGGCTTATTGAGGTTTTTGCAGTACAGAAAGTCCCAAGCAGTGCTGGGACAGGGTTCTCAGGTACTGCAGACTCAGCTTAGGTTTCCAGTTAGTAATATGCATTCTCATGTGACTTTTCTTTTCCCCCCAGAGCCTGCATTGATGCTGTTCCCACTACGCCAAGACACCCTACAGAATCCCCCAAATTCAAAACAGCGGGGTCACACATTCAGCCATTGGCTGACTTTGAGAGCAAGTTTCCCCACACAAATGAGAAAAGCACTAATGAAAAATAAGCTTACAGGACAACTCTACCTGCCAGGATCTCGCCCAGAGCAACAGTGGCATATAACAACAGGAATTCTACAAACCCAGCTCAGAGGCTCCTGTGTCTCCCAGAGGGATGCAGGCTCCACATTTGACCCAAAGTGCCTTGAGGCTTCTCCTGTAGGCCAAGTTTCTGTGGACTGTCAGTCCAAAGAGGCAAGTCCAGGATCTGAACTGGGCACCACGGTACCTCGTGCCTGTGGCAGTTTGACTCACACTGATGAAGAAGGACGGGCCACAATGGTTGATGTTGGAGGGAAGCCAGATTCAAAAAGAATTGCTGTTGCTGTAGCTGTGGTCCGCCTGGGTGAGAAGGCATTTGGGATGGTGAGGCAGAACCAGGTGAAGAAAGGGGACGTGCTGGCAGTTGCCCAGATTGCAGGAATTCAGGGAGCCAAGCTGACCAGCCAGTTGATCCCGTTGTGTCACAACATCCCCCTCAACCACGTGGAGGTGTCTCTAAGCCTGGATGAGGACAGATGCGCAGTGGTGATTCGCAGCTCCTGTCAGACCTGGGGGAGGACAGGGGTGGAGATGGAAGCTCTAACAGCTGCTAGCCTGGCTGCCCTGACTGTGTATGACATGTGCAAAGCAGTTACTCATGACATTGTGATTGAAGAGGTGAAGTTGCTTAGTAAGACAGGTGGACAGAGGGGAGATTTCTCAAGAGTCTAGAGCATACCAAGACCTAGATCATACCAGGTGACCACTGCTTATGTTCAGCCTCTTAGAGAACTACTACTACTCAGCTGTGAGGCTTGGAAACCTCAGCAGGTATACCCTACAGCAACCCTAAAACTCCAGTTTTGCCTTACACTGTCAGCTTCCTGCTGGGTGACCAGTTGGAGTCACTTATCCTTGTTGATAACCACATGCGTTTTTTATAGAACAAGCTTCTCCACTCTGCCAATACCTTAATTTCAGTGTCTTCACCATGAGCTAGAGCAAAGATTCCTAGTCATACCACAGAGTTGGGTTTGTTTTTCCTTCTTACTGTGAAATATTCACAGCTGCTGTCATCACACCATGCAACTGTGAGTTCTGGAAATGAAGCAAGTGCTGAAAGTGCTGTTATTTGGCAACTATTTTTAAGTCAAGGATTAAGATTTCAGAATTGTGTCTGTCTTTCCCCCTGACTTTTTTGGTTGAATTTTGAAGGTGACAGCTTGGGAACCTTACCATACAGCAGAGATTGTAGCTGGGGAACAGCCAGGCTCAGAGGTGCAGCTCCCATCCCTTTGCACTGCTACTGCTTCCCTTGCCTGCAAATGGGAATACCCATGTATCAGTTTCAACGAAAAGCCAAAAAAGATGGCAGCTATTCAGTTCTCTGCTTTGTAAAATATGATGATTTAGACACAGAGGATTTCTGGGTTTGGAAGAATTATTTTGCTGATATGAAAGAGATCTTTTACAATGTCAGAAGCATGTTCCAGCATTTTGACCTTAGCACTCAAATACATAGAGGCCCTGTGTCTGCATGCTCAAGGGCTTAATTGTGCCACACATAGAAGTAGGCATCAGCTCTCCCTGACTTTAGAAATAGGTATCAGACCAAGCCCCAGAAGACCCAAAATTTTTTAGTCCTACAGTGCAGCACCTAATAATCAGCAGCCTGCATCGTCCTGACAGATAAAACGAACTTGAAGACTAGTAGCCGCTTGGAAGGGTAAGGTAATTGCTGTTGCTTTGGTCAGAATGTTTTCCTTCATGTTTCTTCAGTTTGCTTTTGTGAAGTCTTCTGTCCTCAGAGCTCTTAACTGTCCCCATAAATGTTACAGTGCCCACTGTCACATAGCATTAAATAGCTTTGATAATCAACTACCCTAGATAAGAGACTACTCAACATGGTGGGTAATACTGATGGATCCTTTTAAAATGTTAATTTAAATTCTCTAAACAGGGTGTTTCCAGCTTTCATTTACTTGTTTTCTAGTGCTTATGGCTAATGTGAAATTGCATATGATTCTGGGTGCTCCCTCTCCATACGCACAGAGAGTTGAAGACAGCTCCAGTAATATCAGAGAGGCTACCAAAAAATTATCTTAGACTTTGCAGGTAGCTGCTTCTTATGAAATAAGGTTTAGTCACTGTGAGCAGCGGTAAAGCACACATCACACACATCCTGCTCACTTAAGGTAAGCACAGGTCTAAGATGAGGAGGCAATAGGTTTTACTATAAATCCTCCACAAATTTCATACACTGGCTACCACAGAAGGCACCTTTTCCATCATAGATTAATTAATTTGATTCTTTTTTCACTGTTACTGTGAAATAAGGCACATACAGTGACACACACAGCAGCTATAGATGAATGGGGAAGGAGCTGGGAAAGCTTGGTGCTCAAACTCCATTAACATTTGTACACATATATCCAGTGTTACAGTCATGTTTGCCTTGACAGCACTGATGCGTCTGTAAGTTAATAGTAGGGGCAGGGGCGTACCTGGCACTGCTGTACTGAGCACCAACAATCCCCCAACCCTACAAATACAAGAAATTATGTTCATCTGTGGAGCTGCTGCGCCCACAGCACAAAAAGTTCCCTAGCTCTGCATGGAACAGATTGCCAGGAACAGGAACCACGTGTGTTACCTCCCAAGTTAACTGATTACACACAAGCACTTAACTCCCCCCAGTATGCACAACACACCCTGCCTTCCCTGCTCTCACCCAGTCTTAGCTCATTTTGAAAACTAAAAGGACGCTAGACATACTCAGTGGTATTAAAATGATGCTTTGGAGCATATGATACTTTGGCTTCTGAGAAGTTTGTGATCATGCTGTAAAGCTCACCCAAAGGAGTGACTCAAGACTGCACAAGGGACTACAGAGCACATGCATGACTGCCACGCACATTTTGCTACTTACGCACATTCACTACTTTCCTAGGTTGAGAGGGGCAGGAAGCTTTGAGCAAACAGACTTACTTTGGTGCCATTTTATGGTTGTGTTACATTATCAAGTCTTGAAACTATGCACAGTCAACATTTGTGAGAGAAATGAGCTGACAGCACTGTATGTGTCAGTGGTGCTGGGTGGGAAATGGTGTAATACATGTTGATGAACTGACTACTTTTTGGAGGCTTGCTTTTTTTTTTGTCCACTGCATTTTTAATAAAGACTAATTGTAATGGAATATGTTTTGTATTGCTTTGGATTCCTGTTTTATTCATTCAAAGGAACATCTATTTTTTAATCCATAAGCTTCTATGAATAATTACCTCAGGACAAGCAATAAGACAGACTTTATAACTTGCAGTGATTAGTCAGCAATTTGCAAGGGATCAGTCACAATAAGTCACTACTATAAGGAATCTATTTCTTCTCTTTTTTTGTTGAGTGAAGCTCCTCTCTATCGGGCTGGTTTTAAACTGAGTAATCCTTTAGGCTTAGCATAATAATTTCTCTCATTATTATCCCAGCTTCTCCCACATTCCTGTTTCAAGTCAGTGGGTGCATGTAACAGTACTGCTTTGTGTTGCAGAGTAACCGCGTCTGAGGGACTGTGCACTGAAACTGAGGTCTGGGGAGAACTGCCTGTAGAGAAGCCCATACCCCCTGAATCATTATTAATAAGTCTAAGGGAAATTGCCCTTCTGATCCAACTGAGCTTCCAGGAAGTCTCTCACCTATTACCAAGAAGGCCTGTTCCTACCTGAGGAAGTTGATGAGCTGTTTTGTTCACTGTAGCCAGCCACAGTGCAGTGCGGGTGCTTTGCAAGAGGGCAGACAGCAGCTGTACTGGCAGAGGGTGTCTCTCTCCAGGTACAGCCTCCAAATGCCAGGACAACAGCACAAAGTTTACATCCTTCTTTCTAGGAGCAGCTTCCTAATTTGGAACCAGATTTTTGACGATTTAACCGAAAGAAACAGCATAAAGCACTGAGCCCACCACATCCCTTCTCCTGAAGGGTGCTGTAAGAGCACGAGTCACATTGCTAGTGCAGTGCTGCCAAACACCACACAAATGCCAATACTGCAGATCCCAGCAGCCCCCACAATGTTACAGTATAGCTTTTGCCTAATGGAAATTCTGCCTTATCCCAGCTGATGTCCCATTTATGAGTTACTGTCTGTTCACTGCTAATCCAGCCTACGTCTTCTGTGGCAGCTCGGCCTGTCTTTCCTTCATGGCCACATCCTGAAGCTAGTCACCCCACCCTCAGACTGCCCTGGAAAAAGTTGGATGTGGCATGTAAAGGAGAAGCCAGCAAAAGCTGGTCACTAAGTATTGCTAAAGAGATTAAATCTAGGTCAAAGAGAACAGTGCTCTCAGAAACTGCTGGAGGAAGAGTGGGACATGGAAGGAAGACACGGCTTGAAATACCTTAGGAAGGAATCTTTTTTCCGCAATGGGAACCACTCAAAACCAGACTAAAAGCAACAACAGCTGAGCACTAAAAAGGGGAATGAATTTTTAGCTATTCTAAGCCACTGCTGGCCTGTAGTAATTCTCTGTAAGTCGCTGACGTTACCCAGCTTTACATGGGATTTGACTGGGCAGAATCTGGCTCTTCATCCCACCCTTTCCGTGGTCCTTCACTAGCTTCCTGCTCCTGGCTGCCTCAGCAGCAGGTACGCAGGCATCTAAAAGCCTAAGACGGGCTGTAACATTGTGTGTGCTTTGGCCAGGACACAGCACTGCTAATTAGTTACAAGGAAACACAGTTCACTTCCCTTACTAGAGCCTTGCTCCAAGAGAAGCTTAACATTTTGGGCAACCCAACAGTTGGAGGAGTTGCTGGCTGCAGTGGCATGACTAGACTTGCTTTCATTTTTTTGAGACTTCAGGTTAAAGCCCCAGTGTAGGTCTCAAAACCAGTGGATCTGAGGAGCACAGCAAAGCCATGACTATGGTGTGCAAACCCCTGACACATCTGCCACACTCCCTGGAAAGGCAAAGGGTGAAGCATCCAAGTCCTGTTTCACTGGCTGGGCCTGAAGAGCTTTGGGCAAGCTTAGTTCACCCTGTCCTTAGGAGATTCTCATTTTGGACACAAGAAGCTTGAACAGTGGTAGCCAAGACACAAATCCAGCTACCCGTACCTTCCCTTGTCCCTCCATGCTGCCAGTGTCATGTTTAGAAAGGTTTCAGTTTAGCATCTCGGTTTTTGTACTTGGCTTGTTTGTTCCTTTAGGATGCAGAGGGTACCCAAAGTAAGAGTTGTGAAGTGCAGCTGAGTACAAGTTCACTGGAGGGGATGGGTGCCCTGAGACACTGCTGAGCTTTGCCCTGACCAGAGCAGCATGACAAACCAGGCATGGCTCAGCTTCATGCATACAACCCAACTGCAATGGCATGGCCATGGCCCTCAATCAGCCTGCCTAGTGCCCCTGGCTCTCCAAGGGACCATCCACACAACACTTGCTCCATGGAGCAAAGCTTCACACTTCATTATTGCTTAAGAGTTTCTTCCAGAAGCCCAAACAACCAACAGTATTATGGAGACAAATGCTCCAACAGAGAGGGATAGAGCTTACCTTCCAATTCTGGAAAGCCTGCTCAAAACAAGAAACTCTCAGTACTACTAAGCTGTTCCTGCATGGATTTAGTCTTACAAGTAAATGCAACAGAAACACTGCCTTCTATACCCATGATACTTCCAGTGTGCACAGCTGGCAGGACACAAGGCCAGCAAAAGCAGAGTGTCCAGTTGCAATGTCAAGGGCA